AACCAAAAGAAAAAAAGAAAAAGAAAAAAGTGAACTATTAATCTGTTACCACAAACATGGTTCTAAGACACATGTACACATACATATAAAAAAAATCATAAAAAGCACATGTAGAAACCCTGGATAAGTTGTAAGAACAAAGAACAGGCTCAGACATACAACCACTGAAATTGGGAGTTATTAGGAGGTCTATTTAATTGAGTAAAAGAATAAATGAAGGTATCAAGTATGAGAGCATAACAGAGATGATAACATTAACAACAGGAAACTCTAGGCAGGAGAAACAGATCGAAGGACAGAACTGCATAAACACCATCTCAATATGTATGTTTAAGACCTAAATGTAACACCATTAGCAGCCAGATACAGTGGTATGTGCCTACAGTCCCAGCCACTCAGGAGGCCAAGCAGAGCAATCACAAGTTTGAGGTTGGCCTGGATAACATTGCAATCCTAAATGACTGGGGTGTAGGTCAGTGGTAGAATCCATGCTTAGCATGCTCAACGCCCTGGGCTCCAGCCCAGCACAGAAACCAGAACCAAACAAGACTCTTAACAGATATGAAAGAAGGCCAACATAAATGAGACATCATAAAATGATAGTCAGAAAGACTCTATGTTGTAAATATGTCCTCTTCTGACACTAAGTCAGTGAAATTCCAGTGGGGGAAAACGCCAGGAAACTTTTTTTCTTGAATACGACCAACCTCATTCTAAAGTGTATTTATTTAGAAGAAGAAAAGGTTAAAACAAGCAAGCACACCCTGAACAGCAATCAGAGGTTTGATCATATTGGGTAACAGTGCTATAAAAGTTTCAGTCATTTGGCTAGTGAGATGGCTTAGCAGTAAGCCCCTGAGCCTAATGGCCTGCTGGAACCCTGGAGTCCATGTAAAAGTGGAAGGAGAGAATCCCTCCACAAGGCTGTCCTCTGACCTTCGCACACATGGCATGGTATTGCATACCCCCACCACAAACAAAAAATAATGTATTTTTAGAAGTTACAGTACTTGAAACAGAGACGTCAGGGCTGGAGAGATGACTCAGCCTGTTAAGAACACTTAATGCTCTTCCATAGGATCTGGGTTTAGTTCCCAACACTCACATGGAGGCTCACAATCATCTGTAACTCTAGTTCCAGGTGATCTAAATGCCCCTTCCGGACTCCATGGGAACCACACACAGTGGCACACAGGTATATACACAGACAAAACAAGTGTACAAATAAAACTTTTTTTTTTCAAAACAAAACAAAAAATGAGTGGGATCTCAGACTGACTCTAAGAAGAGAATGGAGAACATGTACACACACACACACACACACACACACACACACACACACACGTATAGAATTCCATATGCACAATCTACACAATCCGGAGGGAAATGTTGGCTTTCATGATTCCAGTCTTTTCTTTTTTTTTTAATAATTTAATTTTAATTCATGTGCACTGGTCTTTTTGCCTGCATGTATGTCTGTGTGAGGGTGTCAGACCCCCTGGAACTGAAGTTACAGATAGCTGTGACTTGTCCTCTGGGAGAGCAGTCAGTGCTCTTAACCACTGAGCCATCTCTTCGGCCCTCCAGTCCTTTCTATAAACCATTTCCATACAGCCATTAGAATGAATTGCCTAAAACAGACAGATTATCATTATTATTTATTTATTTTTTGAGACAGGGTCTTTCTATGTAGTCCTGGAAAGCTCTATGTAAACCAGGCTGGCCCTGAACTCAGAAATCCACTTACTCTGCTTCCCAAATGCTGACATTAAAGATGTAGTACCCACACCTTTTACTTTAAGTTCTTATTTTCTTTCTTCTTTGTTTCTTTTTCTCTTTCCTTTCTTTCTCTCTCTCTTTCTCTCTCTTTCTTTCTGTGTAGCCCTGGCTGTCCTAGAATTCACTTTGTAAAACAGGTTGGCCTGGAACTCAATTGCCAGTCTCTGCCTCCCAAGCGCTGGGATTAAAGGTGTGAGCCACCATGCCCAGCTTTAATTTTAGTTTTCATTATGTTTATATGTGTGCCATGGGGTGATATGTATATGTGAGTTCAGGTCCATGTAGAGGCTAGAGGAGGTGTTGAATCCTTTGGAGCTGGAGAAATAGGCCTTCATAAGCTGGGAATCAAACTCAGGTCCTCCACAAGAGTAACCCCTCTTAACTGCTGAGCCATCTCTCCAGCACCCCTTTTTAAAAATAAGGGCTTGGGGCCACACAGATAGCTCAGTGGGTAAAGGCACTTGCTGCCAAGCCTGATGGCCTGAGTTCAATGCCAGGCTCCTGTAGAGTGGAAGAAGGGAACCGACTCCTGTAGGTTGTCTTCTGATGACCATCTGTGAGCCATGGCGTGCAGGCTCCTCTCTCCGGCATAATTAATTATTTATAATATAAATAAATAATAGACTAAAAATAGTTTGATGAATGAATGTTTCTAGAAATCAGATTATTTTATCAACTCACATGGCACACAAAGCAACTGGGCAGCCTGGGTGTAATGGTTTAGAGCAGTGTGGAGGCACAGGGCCTTAGCTCCTTCATGTTAAAGTCTTGGTGATTGAATGCCTGTTTGTAAAACAGAAATAATAGTGTTGTCTTATAGGATGGCGGAGGACAGTTAACTGAGTCACCACCACCAAAATGAAACTCTTTCTTGCTTCTCCCTTCTCCTTGAACTGAGGATGTAGTTGGGATATTTGCACAGGTGCAAGATGTAATCAACTTATTTTGTATGGCCTAGAAGGATCAGCCCTGCTTCCTATATAGTCTTTTTTGAAAGCCCAGATCAAAAGGAATCCTATTTGGAGCCTAAGGAAACAGTCTGAAAAGAGAATTAATGTTCTTCTCGACTTCCTGTACACTGTGCTTCCTCTACTGCTACAGTTTTCACTATACTATATTAGACATCACTACTTTCTTGCTCTTTACTGCAACAGTGACCAATTTAAAATGGCAAGCTGGATTCAGAGGAAATAATTAAGGACATCAATAGAAGTACTAATTGCTAGCTGGTAGGTGGTGCAGGCCTTTAATCTCAGCACTCAGGAGGCAGAGGCAGGTGGATCTCTGTGAGTTTGAGATCAGCCTGGTCTACAGAGGGAGTTTCAGGGCAGCCAGGGCTACACAGAAAAACCCTGTCTCGAAAAACTACCACCAACAAGAAGTACTAAGTGCTAAGTGAATGCTTACATCTTTCTTTCTTTTTTTTCCATCTTTTTTCCTTCATTTTTCTTTATTAAGAAAATTTCTACTCACTCCACATACTATCCACAGATCCCCCCTCCTCCCACCCCCATCCCTCTCTCCCAAGCCACCCCGCATTCCTACATCCCCCAAATCGAGGTCTCCCATGGGGAGTCAGCAGAGCCCAGCACAGTGAGCCTAGGCAGGTCCAAGCCCCTTCCCACTGCACCAAGGCTGTGCTTACATCTTTTATTAGAAAGATTTTGGGAGACTGGATGTCTAGAATGTTTGAGACCTTGAGCTCAAACCTAAGAACTGAAAAAAAAAAAAAAAAAAAAAAAAGACAGATTGATTTGTGGTCCTCAATTTTTATGTCCTATTGAAAATAATAGAGAAAATATTAAATGTTAATATTAAAGGACATACTGCACCCATACCATCTTGCAAATACAGGTTTTGATGCAAATCTTGAAACAAATTTGTATATAATTTAATTCTAATAACTAGTATAAAACATAAATAAGACAGGGGGCAGGAGAGATGTCTAAGTGGTTTAGAGCACTCCATGCTCTTTCAGAGGACTGGAATTCAGTTCCCAGCACTCAGTAGTTCACAACTGACTATAACTTCAGTTCCAGGGAAACCGACACTCTCTTCTGGTCTTTGAGGGCACCAGGCATGCATGCGGTGCACATACATGTATATAGGCAAAACACCCATACACATAAAATAAATCTTAAAAAGTAATAGAGGGTATCAGGAGTTCTTTCTCATTTTTCCTTAATAAACCTGCATTAACTGTTTAAAAAACAACAACTCTCCTAAGTTTAGCCAATTTCATAAATCAGTCCTGATGAGAGTCATCTAGAATAAGGTCTAGCATAAATAAAAAGTGGTGCTAAGGGGAAAGGATGTGTAAAATGCGATCTCTGTGAAAAGTCTTATTTAAAAATGAAGAGATGAAAAAATATTAATAAAAATGAAGAACTGGAATGACACACAGCCACATGGGAAGAGAGGTCACAGACAATTTTGAAAATCAACTTTATTGGGGTATAATTTGATATATCATAGAGTTCACCCACTGTATGTATACAGTTTAAGTTTTAAGTTGTGCAGCCATCATCATATTTAGATGTCATTTTTTTGTATCATAATGCAAATTTTATTTTTGAAGAGTCCTCTTTTCTTTTTGGAGCTGAGGATAGAAGCTAAAACCCCCAACCCTTGAAGAGTCCTCTTAATGAAAACTGGGTGGAGATGAACTGTAACATTAAGTGGTTTCTATCTCTTCAACCGAAGTAACTCTTCCATTCTGACATACTCATTCGTCTTTGTAGCGCACAATGGATTTCAAAGCAGCAGGAACATCTTATGCTATTATTAGGAAAGAAACGTGGTGGGTTGGGCAGACACCAAACAGCTCAGATTGTTTGGGACACGATTATATTTGATCCTTCTGTAAATAGATGGTTCCTCAGGATAAAAGGTCAGGCACATCCATCGGCTCACATCTGTAATCCCAGTCCTGGGGAAGCTAGGCTGCAGTGAGACTGTCTTAAAAAAACCAAACAATAACAGTCGCAGTTCCCAAAGGAACATGGAGGTACTGAATGGAACCAACCATGGGCAACTACTTTTCTACTCCTCAATTTGGCTGGGGAAGGGTGGAATTCGCTCGGGGTTCCACAACTTATCTGTCCCCAGCCTGTGACGAGCACAGAGAAAGGACCTTCGGTGTTATTCACGTATTCATTAGGACAGAAAACCTTTCGGGAGGAAGTAACTGAGATCGGTTAGTTCCCTAACCCGACTCCTACCTGTGGAGAAGCAGAGCAAGAACACCCGCTGCTCCAGGCGGGCCAAGCCTAGCACCGTGGGCGCAAAGAACATGGCTTCGTCGTCCGGGTGCGCGATCACCAGAAGGGCCCGGCTTCCGGCTCCCGGCAGGCCCGCCTGCTCCGGAGACCTCATTCGTTCCGCCAAGTCCCGAACCCGGAGGAAGCCCCAGGTCAGGACAGCCACCGCCACACACACGAGACCCACCACTTCCATGCCGGGTAGGTGGCAGCGCGCCTGCGCAGTAAGGAAGGCTGGGGGTGGACTCGGGCTCCTGCGGGAAAACTGAACCCGCTGAAACTGCGTTCCGCGGTTGAGCGCTCCGTGGCCCGAGAACGGCGAGACTCGGGGTCTAACGTGGAAACTAACCCCCCCACACTGCGCCGTCTCATCTTTGATATAGCCATGGCAAAATCCTGTACCTGCTCCAGTGTAGGGGAGGGTTAAACCGAACTCTGTGCGACCCAGCATCTTTCTTACCGTTCAGTGTGCTTAAAAGGGAGCGTTTCAAAGTTACTTTGAGATCGTGTCTCGCTGTGTGTGCCCCTGGGCGCCCCTGAACTCGCTATGCAGACCATGCTGGTCCCGAATTGGCAATGCTTCTCGTTCCTCGGCCTCCTGAGCGGGGATTTCAGGCGTGTCACAGCACGCCGGCTAACACGGACGCCTTTGAAAATAAACTTTCGGTCGGGAGAGTTCCCTTTTCGCTTCAGCTCGTTCTCTAACCCACTCCTTAGGACCCAAGTCTTCGTATAAACAGCCCGTTATCCGGATAAAAGTTTTCCGAAGCGGGTCACACTTTTTTTTTTTTTTTTTTTTTTCCCTCAGATGGCGGCTTTGCGAGAGGCCAAGTAAGCGGCTATGAGGAAACGTCATTTCACTAGACGGGTGAGGCGGAGAGAGTGCGGTCGGGAGGCCCTCACATGCTCTTAAGAGGTGGCGATTAAGGAAGCTACGCGGCGGCGGCGGAGGCCTGACCCGCCATCCCGGTGAAGACTCGGTGTGACCTTAACGAGCCTCCCAGCCGCGTGGGCTCGGGGGTCTCTCTCGGGCGCACGAACCGCCGGGGGTCGCCGGGTCCTTTTCCCACGCCCGAGGCGGGGGGCGGGGGGGGAAGGCCCCAGGTGCGCGGGAGCGGCCGGCTCCGCGATGGCGCTCCGGGCCGGCTGCGCGATGGCGGCTGCCGCGGCGCGTCGGGCCCGAGGCGGTGCCGCGGGAGCGGGTCGGCGTGGGAGCCACGACAACTCGAAAGGCCCCGGCGCGGCACCCACGGCCCAGGAAGCGAGGCCGAGGTAAGAACGGCGCTCCGCCCGGGGAGGGAGTCGTCTCCGCAACCCTCCGGAAGGAGGAGGAGCCCGCGTCGGAGCCGCCTCAGCGCGGCCGCCGGGCCTGACGGGGGGGGGGGGGGAGGGGGAGGGAGAGGGGTTGAGGCAAGATGGCGGCTAAGGTGGCGAAGCTGCGGCGGCGGCGGCCGGAGTGAGCAGCGTCCAGCTCGCCGCGCCGAGCCAGGGCCGGGCGGAGGGCCGCGCGCCGGGGCCGCGCCCCGCTCGCCGGGCCGTGGGGGCGCGCCGGCTCCCACGCTCCGCCAGCTCCCGGTGAGTAGGCCCGGTGCCTGCAGCCCCGGCCTCGGGGCCCTGCTCGCCCCGGAGCATCGGAGGGCTCCTAGGGCGCCGGTGCCGGAGGCGGCTTCCCGGCCGGGCCGGGGGGGGGGGGCGTCGGGAACCGCACCGGGTTTGGGACGCGTCCGAGCCGCCCGTTTCCTTCGCTCTCGGGCCACCCAGGGGCGAGTCGGGCGCGGCGGGCAGTGGAGGCTAGGCGAGTGGAGGCTTCTGGAGTTCGGAGGAAGAATGGCCTTAGGCGGGCGGACGTCGGCCGGAGGTCTCTGCCCTGTGGGGAAGGGGCGTGCGGTGCCTGCCGGGCTGGCGGAGGCCGTGCGGGGATGGAGGGCTCCGGGTGGGGCCGGCGCAGGTGACCCGCCTGGGCCCACTCCCGGGGAGAGTTAGTGGCTGTCTGGCGAGTGTGGAAGGGGTTAAGGAGGGTGACAGCGATGGACAAGTGTGTGAAGAGCAAACTAGTTCACCTTTCTAACTGGCCCACTTGAGGTATAATGGCGAAGGGTTGGTTGGTAGTGGTGCGGATGCCGAGCAGCACCCTCTGCCTCCTGCCGTTTGTTATTGGTGTTTTCTTGTGCCAAGTGGGAGAGTGCACCCCTTTTTTTTGAGGCGGGTGGGGGGGAGGACAACGACGACCGGGATTTGAGAAACGAATTGAGAAGGCAACCTTAACGGAAAGGACACTATGTTCTTAGAATTAGTGTAGATCAGGAATAGTCATGTATGAAAAGGAGTGGATGGGGATAAAGGATATTTACGGCAAGTCTTTGCCAGGTTGTATACCACAGTGCCTGTTCAACAGAGTTAACATTGGAGAGTAGCGTTATGGGCAATTTTAATCTTTGGGACTAGTATATTCACCTGCATCAGATTTGCTACCCTAATTGTATCCTGTTACATTTGAAATTTACATTCCTTGTGTGCACCCTGGCGAGAGAATGCTGGGAGACTGAAAGTGGCTGTGTGCAAAGAGCAGACAGGCCTGGGATTTAAAAATGCCGACACATAGTCATTCATTTGTTCAAGGGGATCTTGATGAATAGTTGCTGATGATTCTGATTCACGTGGAATATCTGGTGGATAAACGGAGAGCTGATGTTTTAAATTAATTAATTTAGTTTGCTTTGAGACCATTTAAGTCTGTAGGGCTTACTGGCCTGGAGCTCCCCGTGTAACTGGTGCAGGAATTGCATGCTTGCACCACCATACCTGGCGTACTGTTTAATTTGTAATATTTTGGGGAAATTTTTTTTTTTTGGTTTTGGTTTTGGTTTTTTCGAGACAGGGTTTCTCTGTGTAGTTTTGGCGCCGGTTCTGGATCTCGCTCTGTAGACCAGGCTGACCTCGAACTCACTGAGATCCACCTGGCTCTGCCTCCCGGGTGCTGGAATTAAAGGCGTGCGGGAAATGTTTTAATATATCCTCTCATAAATTTATTGGATGAGCCAGTTCTTATTTGCCTGGGCTCGGTCTCTGACTTATTTAGATAGGGGTAAGAATTACAGAAGAAATAAAGCTAATTCACTAGAGAGAAATCTTATTTTCTTATTCTATTAGAGTCCAGTGGCAGTTTAGTTTAATATTTATAGCTTCCAGTTGCTTTGTCTCACGTGCACCTGTTAATGAAAATCAAAGTGTGTATGTCTGTGTGTGTTTGTTTATGCATATCTAGAAAGTGATTCCTAGCCATACCAAAACACTTTATCTTTTAGAAAAGACTTGCCATATGTTGTAATACTCCTCTTGAGAAGCTGTAATGCTAAGAATCATGATTCTCCCTGCCATTAACTGGCATTTAGAACATGTTCAACATTTCCGTGCTTCAGTTTCCTCATCTATGTTAGAAAAACTTCTAACCTCACAGGTTTGGTTGTTGTGAGTTAGTAGTTATGAAATTGGACAGGGACTGCAGCCCAGTTGGTATAGAGCTCAGCTAACAAGCTTGTAGCCCCAGGTTTGATTCCCCAGCACCACATAAAAACAGACACATGCCCACTCAGGAGTTGGAGGCAGGAAGATTACAAGTTCAAGCTTGTCAACAACAGTATCTTGAGTTTGAGGCCAACCTGGAATATTCATGACCCTGTTTCAAAAAAAAAAAAAAGTTATAAAATTACTTTAAACAGATGAAAATGATTGTGTTTCTGTGAGATAGTAATGGCTTATCTGCAAATCTCTTATGTAGTTAGAAAAAATGTATTCGAATTATAACAGCAAAATATACTTGTTGCTAATATACTTACATAGCTATGATTCTCTCCCATGAATTTGAAAAAAGAATATATTGCCTGGCGTGGTAATCTTAACACTAACTGGAGATCTCTGTGAGTTTGAGGCCAGATTGTTCTACATAGTGAGTTCCAGGTCAGAAAAGGTCTAAATAGAGAGACTGTCTCAGAGAAGAAGGAAGAGGAGCAAAAAGAGGAGGAGTAGATAATATGTACTTTGTTGTTGTTTTTCACAGAGACGGGATTTCTCTGTGTGTAGCTCTTGCTGTCTTGGAACTTGCTCTGTAGACCAGGCTGGCCTCAAACTCACAGAGATCCTCCTGCCTCTGCCTCATGATGCTGGGATTAAAGGCATGAGCTACCACCGCCTGGCTGATAATTCATACTTTTAAGTGGATATCTTGTATTCAAAAAAATAAAGTAAACTTGGGACTGGAGTTGAGACGGTGGTTAAGAGTGCTTTTTGTGTTTGTAGGAGGCCCAGGTTTGGTTCCCAGCACCCATACAGCACACAGCTATCTGTAACTCCAGTTCTAGGGGACCTAATGTCCTCTTGGCCTCCAAGAGCACCAGGTACACATTGGTGCACATATATACATGTAGGCACTCATACACATAAAAAAAAACCTGAATAAATATATAGTGAGCTAAAAATCCTGGATTTTCCTCAAAATAAAGACAAAATGAAATGCTGGAAGTTAACTTGTTTTTTTGAATTTAATTCAATAGGAGTTTGTTCCAGGGCCAGGCACATTTAGATCATTCCATTTTTTTTCTTTTAAAAAGCATTTAAGATTTACTTATGCATTTATTTACTTGTTTTTGTGAAATGATGAATTCTTTGCCATTGTCATTTGTTTTGGAGAGCAAAAGCCTTTGGATAGGCCAGGGATTTATTTAGGTGAATATCAGGCTATTTGTTATTTAGGTTCCCCCTCCCTGTGTTTGTATTTTATTACTCATTTTTAATCTCTTAGGTGTAATTTTGTATTTTTATTGGTACCTGGAAGTGGTACTGTTCTTACTTATTTTGTTACCTTCATCTGTTCTGTTTTACTTATTAAAAAGTACATTTATTTATTGTGAGTGTGAATGTGTGCATGCCCCTGGCATGTGTGGGGCGGTCTGAGGACAGCTTTTAGGATTTGGTTCTAGCATCTGGTTGGCAGCCTTGATTGCAAGTGCCTTTACCTGCTAAGCCATCTCACCAGCTCTGTTACCTGTTTGTCTTGAGATGGTATGTGCTGCCCAGGCTGGCCTCCTAGAACTGAACGCAAGTGAATTTTATGTCACCGCTTCCCAAGTAGCTGGTGGGTGCCATAGCACCTGGCCTCATCTGTCCTTTTAGTTCACTTATTGTATTTTATTAGAGTATGATGTAAAAGTAAGTAAAAAAAGGGTGATCAGAATTTACTAAGAACAGACATATTTAAGATCAGAGACTTGTATATTTTCAGTCATTCACTTGTTTATCCAGTATGAAGCACTTACCTTAAATGCTATAAAGGCATAAATAATAGCTTTTAATTTAAATAATTTTTCAATTTAAATGAATTATAAGCACAGGTAACTAAGTTGTCAGTGTAAGTGTGATTGATATTTTGTTCTTGTGTTTGAGGATACAAAAATAATTTTGATGGTTAAGAGGACAGTTCTTTCTCTATCAGACCTCCTTAGGAATGTTGAAAAACCACTGCAGTGTAGTAGTAACTATGTGGATCATCTGTTTTTTATTTTGATATTTTTGTGGTCTTGTTCCCCCCCCCCCCCATTCTATCCTTTAGCCATTTTTGCCAACCCAGGAGGTCCTGTGGTCAAACAGTTACTTGGATAGTCTTCAGATACAACCTGTCCCATCCACCCACTTGAATTGGAAAGTCAGAGACATAACAACACACATACGTGTGTCTGTGTAGTGTTCAGTTTAATTCTGTACTGCTGTTAACTTTCATTTAGTTGTGCTCTCAAAAATAATTTAAATTGGTTAAAATAAATTGCTTACAATTTATAGAATTCTAGAACAAACATCCCTATATAGATCTAGTCTTGTTTTATATTTGAATATTTCAAAAGCATGAATAACTGAGAATGAAGTGATCTGCCGAAATTGTTGCTATTGGGCAGAAGCAAAAGCCACATTTCTGACATCTTGTGTGTGGTGTGTGTATATATATATATATATATATATATACACACACCACACACACACACACACACACACACACACACCCCATATTATCTGGGGAGCAGTTTGCTTTGATGATCGATTCTTACTTAAAACAAAATTTGAGTTGGCTGGAAAATGGGAGATCACTTCATATGTTCAGTGTAGTTACTGAATGTAAAATACTTCATAACATTACATTTCTGTAATGAATATACAATTTAAAGAAAATGGTATTGAAATGGTTGTTGCTGGGAATTACTTAGTTTGCTTAAGTTTTTCTATGTTCTGATGAACATTTTGTTTTATTTTATTTTGTTTTTTGAGACGGTTTCACTGTGTAGCCCTGACTGTCCTGGAACTCACTCTGTAGCATAGGATAGCCTCAAACTCACAGAAATCCTCCTGTCTCTGCTTCCTGAGTGCTGGGATTAAAGGTGTGAGATACCATCACCTGGTGAAATTTTTATTTATTTTAAAATTTTAATTTTATGTGTGTAGTGTTTTGCCTGCATGTATGTCTGTGTACCACATGCATGCCTGGTCTGGTGCCCAGAGGAGACCAGAGGAAGCCATTCATTGGATCTGGA